GCTAGGCGCTGTGAGTGTATCAGCCATTAGGCTGCTGGGTTCAGGATTGAGGAGGCGAGTCAGGAGTGAAGTAAAGGCAGATTTACTTACAGCTTAGCATACAGCAGTTAACAGAAAGTACAGTAATAAAGAGCTAATAGTGAATGATAACAACAGATAGACAGAATGACAAAGAGTTCCCACATGGGGTTGGCAGTCCCTCTGTGCCAGGTGCATGCCAAGTTGTTCTAGCAAAGTCAGGTGTCCCCAATCAACACTGTCCGAGGGGTCACTGGGAAGGTCCCTTGGTCAGGATCCGGTCCTCACTCACACTGGGAGTCCAGAGTCCAGGCTTGGTACAGCGATGGTCCTTCTGTCCCGTCCTTCTAATTGGTCACTTGACATGCACATTCCTTTATGCCTTATCTTATGCTAATCTGTTGGCTTTAGAGCCACTCACAATCTTGCCCTATAGCTGTTACCCTATGGGATCAAAAGGTGTTAGAAATGATCATGAAAGGTTACCTTCCAAACTTGGGTTCACCCAATAAGCAAATTACACCACATTACTTTGAGGTTTGAAATTAGCATTACCTGCCCAAGTTCAACCCCTTAGTTTTTTTATTCCTTGGATCCCTAGGAATGTGCTAATTATATTAGGTGGTCAGATCTTGTTAAAGCTGACCTTTGAAAAACTGTTAGATCAGCTAATCTTGTAGTTTGCTAATTTTTTGGGGCCCATGATCAGTGCAAACAGTTAGATTCAACACTTCGGTTAAATTGTGACAGACAAATTCCACTTGTAGGTTGAAAACTTGCAAGCTTTGCCTTAGCTAATCTTAATTGCTAAACAATTGCCTGGATGTCTCCAAGAGCATATATTTATTGTAACCCCTCTGGTTCTGGCTGCCACACCTGGGGTCCCCCTGCAGCTGATTGCTGAGCTGGAGGAACACGGGGGGGGCAGCATGCTTGGTGGCATACCTGGAAGTGGATGTACTTCTGGTCCACTTCCGGGTTTGCCATCGAGTACGCAGGCCCCCTACCCCATGCTCCTGTGAGATGCTCCAGGTGCCCCACCATTGCAGCAGTCACGAACCATGCCTAGTACCTTGAAGTATGTAGAAAAAACATTTAAAGCTATGCCTATGACAGAATCGTTGATTCTCCAAATTGGCATTGAATCTTCAGATTCAAATTTGGCTGAATTGAATTGGGGACAGTGATCTGGATCAACTAATTGAATCACTGTCCCTGATTCGGGCTGAATTTGAATGTGGCCTGTTTCGCACACCCCTACTGTTCAGTACAGTTGTTTGTCAGTGCTCCCTTGTCCTTCTGGACCTATCTCCAGCTTCTTGTTTTATACATAGTGTGAACTGTCTGAGGTAAGGACCTGTTCTGAGTTTGTACGGTACCTAACAAAGTGGCTCCTGGCTATGTCTAGTGCTTCAAGGTACTATAGTGATAAAAATAGTGTTTTCCCTGTGGTGTACCAACAGCATTCTGTAATTGTGCGACATTGTTGTGGCTACTGGTATAGGACATGTAATACACGTGGCTTGGTGCAGTGCTAGGAGGACAAATGTGAAGTGCTGTTCTTGTACAAATTAATAATTAAATACAGACTCTTTTCAGAAGAAGTAATTGGATAATCATGCTTTTTACTGTTTTTTAAATTAACTCCCAAGACATTTTTATGCCTTGCTATATTCTTTCCTGGCTTTCTCTATGGCATTGGTACAGAAATTTTGTTTCCCTTTTCTTTTAATACTTTATTTTTTTTGGTTCACAGAACTAAAAGAAATTGTATTTGTCATCCAGAGTCAAAGTAATTATTTTCATTCCAAGAGAGCAGAAGATCTAAAGCAAAATATTTTAAATCAGGCTGCAGATCTTGGAAAGGTATGTGCAGATAATATAGACTTCATGTTTCTCGTCTTTTCATAAACATTTGACTAACAATGTTTGCTGTTGTTCCTGTTTTAATCCATTTTATTTCTTTTGTTAAACTGTATCAGAGTACATATATTTCATCTTCACTTTCTGAAGGAATTACTTAAATAAGGATTTCGCCGACTGCATACCAAATGGGATATCCTTCTTAAATTCCACACTGTTCTAAGTTATGTGCGTTTGTGTGCAAACACAACTGTTTTTGTGAGTATGGAATTTAATTTTGAAGTAATGAAAGGGAAACAGCTTTTTTAAGTACCGCAGTATCCAAAATTATCTTAACTTTAACACAGTAGTGATGATATTTTGACTAGTTATTAAACTTTTAAATTCTTTGTATTTTCTTACAAAGTGGATGAATCAGGTAGGTAATATTTGGGATCATTTTCTTAAGCATACTTTAGTGTTTTGATTTGAGCATCTTCATTTTTTAGAAGTTTTACTGCACAGCTGTATTATGATGGATTTAGAATGAACATTCCAGTCTGAACATTGACTTACACAGTCTTAGCTGAGAACTAGGATTGATTTTTGATTTTTAATGCTTTCATTTGTGCAAAGGGCTTAAAGTTGCTTTTAAATCATCTGGACTTTTTAAAAAGATATAAAATGAAATTCTGAAATAACATTGTAGGGTTTATTGGTTTGAGCTTTGATATTCCGAAACAGGTCTGAAAGATTTTTTAAAAAATGCAGCATTCACTAAGTTTCTGTGGTTCTTGCCCTTCTATATACTTGAGCTGATCAGCACTGTGATAATTAAATATGTTCTAAATGCACTTCTGAGGTTTTGATCCTATGGTTAGATCTATACTGGTAGCCTGTGCCCCTCTGTGATTCCTTCTTATGTTCTGAGGAGTCTTGCAGTGTTGTTGCTTATTCGTCTGCGTGGGACAAAGCCCTGTCCATTAAAATGGGCTCTGGTAAATGTTCACACTCCCGAATACCAGCAGTTGGAAGCCAGCAAAGTAAAAAATGGAAATGTAGATGTGTTCATTGGGGAAAACATAGGAAAACTGGTTTAGAGGATGGGGTAACTTTTATTTTTGAGTGGCAGTAGACTGGTTGCTGAGAGCACTTCTCTCTTGTGAATGAATGAATGTGACTTTGCAAATAAACTTCAGATTATTTTAATTAAAAGGATTTGTTGATCCTCCACGAAAATGGGAACATTTTGGGTGGTAAATAACAGCACACATGGAAGGTTAGTAAAGGCAGTGATTGAAGTCATATCAATCTGAAGATTTTGGCCCAGAATCCAGGGTCGGGGGAAAATGCAATAAAATACAGAAGAAAATGAGTCCAGTCAACTTGTTCTTTGTGTGCCTTGCCTTTTTTCTTTTCCAAGCCTCATTTTCAAATGTCTGGCCCCAGACTGTTTTGAATAAGACTGATAGTACTGGTTATTGTGAGGGAAAACTTAAATCCCTGTGCACAACATTTTGTAATTGACATTTTTCATTCTGAAGCATGCGTACAGATCACACTTTCTGATCACACTGGAGTTAACTTCTCAAAATACATGTTACATATTTACTAACTAGTTAGTCTATATTAAAATTAAATGCAAGAGGGAATTTTCTAACTTTCTAATCAAACTAGAATGCGTGTCTGTCTTGTTTTAAAATGTATTGAATCATACTCATATCCACTCTAAAATAAAATAAACTCCACTTCGAATTTGCTGTTTGTGTCCTATTTCGTGTGTGTGTATCTATCTATCTCTATCTACTTTAAATATTTTACATTTTAAAAATGTATTTCGTTCAACTCAGGTTACCACTAGAGGTCATTGTTGTTGCTATTGTTAATATGTAAATGCATATTATATAACTATAAAATATTTAGTGGTATTTTTTCCATGTTAAACAGTGGCTAATGCTTAGTGATGAGGAACATTTTTTTTTTTGTTTTTTTTTTTTGTTAAATCCCTATCAGTTTGTTTGGTATAGAATCTAATGATCAGATCTTAAATTCATCCCCCTGCCCATGCAACAGTGGGGAAAGCAGCAGCAATGGGACAGGTGCCCCTCTTGCCCAGTGCCCTCTCCCATCACTTCCTCTCCTTTCAGCTTTCTGCACAGTACCCTTCCCCTCCTCCCTTTGCAGCCTCTGCTCCCTCCCAGGTCACTGAGCACATGGAAGCACAGTCCTGCCCAGGCATTTTATTTAGCATCTTGGGGCTGGAGCTGCTCCCTTTACACTTTTATTTACACTACAAGTGATTTCTAATATATAAGCACTAAGCATATAAAAAAAAGTATTTTGGTGGCAAATACAGTTCACCAACTATATCCCAGCCTCTCTCTTTTCACCTTTGCCTTTCTGTTCTCAGATGATAATAATTGGATATTTGAATATCTCGAAAGCTTTCTAACAGAGACAGCCACAGTATATCTTTGTAGTACATGCACAGCCCATATACCCCGGGAGCTTTGATTATTTCACAGTTAAAAGCTGAAACCAAGATCTGCTTTTGCTTATTTTCCTGTGCATTGATTGCCTAGCTCACCTCCACATCATAATCCTCATACTTGTATTATGGTATACAAAACACAGCCACCAGTATTTTTCAGTCTGCTCTTGAAAACGTAGAAGGAACTAAATCTTGCCAGCCTTTGATTTAAAATCTGGCACCTTCTCAGAAATGCCAAGGGAAAAAGGATATCTAGATTGTAGCCGTATTAGTTTAGAGGAAAAAGCTCTCCGGATTGGTGCCACCGCCCCCACGACAGCGTCCGGCTGCCAAAGAGGGTAAGTTTCCCCTCAGTGTCCTTGTCGGGGGGAGCGGGCGCCCCTGAGTCAGAGGTAAGGTGATCTCAAATCTTTTAAGGGTAGGAGTGTCGGCTATATGCCCTGAGTACGGTGCTTCTCAGACACCAAATTAATTGTTTGTTTTATGATGTGCCAGTCTGAGTGCGGCGATTCTCAGACTCTTGGTTACCTGTGTCTCTGTCTGTCTGTCTGTGTCTTAGACCTGTCTTCTCCCGGTTCCTCAATCTGGTGACACAGGCAACCGTAGAGCGTTGTCTGTCTGACCCTTTTGGGCCGGGAAAGCTGTGTGGCGCAATTTTTGTCTCCATTCATGCACAGAGGAACCGATTTCTAATCTTATCTCTTCTCTTTGATAAGTCCCCTTTCCTGTTTGGGGCACTGGTCAGGTCTGGTTTATAAGTCGACTCTGGTATTCTGGTTTAAAAGGCAAAGGGGTACCCAGCCAAGGGAGACAGGATGGGACAGACGGGGTCAGTCCCTGTCCTACCAGAAAGTCCCCTTGGAATTGTCCTTTCTGGTTGAACTAAAATCCCGGGAACTGGTCAGGTTAAAAAGCTTAAATTGATCCAGCTATCTACAGCTGTCTGGCCTGGATACACTTACGAGAATCCTAGCCGACAGTGGCCCAGTCTTGGTAGTTTTAACCGAGAAACCCTGAGGTACCTCAGAGGATTTCTGGCAGATCCTCACCCCCCATCAGATGAATCACTGGTATGTCTGGGCAAACACTACTTGCGAGTTAGAAAAAGGTTGCTTAAACTCCTCTAAAAAAGAAACCCAACACCTGGCTCCGCTCCAGGTTAACCCTAAAAGCCCCTCTGAAACTCTGCCACCTCCATATGCTCCAGCTGCCCTTAAGTCAGAGGAAAATGAGTGGTGTCCAGCAGGACCACCACCACTCCCGGCGCCAGTCACACCCCCGACCCCTGCAGCCACCGCTTCAAGTGAACGTTCCTCCGACAATAAAACAGAAAGTTCTTACCCTGTGTCGACACATACACGAAAAGTCAAACAAAGAAACAGCTGCCTGCTCGTTTAGCTCCCCTGCGTCAGTACCCTGTTGCCATACAGGAAGGAATCCAATATCCATATACACACGTCCCATTCAATCCTCAAGACCTTGTCCTGTGGCAAACTAACACCCCCAAGTTTAAAGACGACCCGGAATCAGTGAGATGCAGAATAGAAACCCTAATCAACACCCCCAACCCTACATGGACAGATATGAATCAGCTTTTAGGTGCTTTTCTCAGTAAAAAGGAGAAAGCAGAAATTATAAATCAAGGAAATCAGTGGGTGTCAGAAGACGCACAGAATAGAACTAATTGGCCGGTCCAAGATCCTGGATGGGATCCAAATGCTGAGGGCAGCAATAATCTGTTGCGCTTGCAACGTGCCCGACAATCCCTTTTAAAAAGGCTGAAAAGAACGAGCAAAAAAAAAAAGAGCAGACTGGACCAAAGTCCAGGCTATTAAACAAGGACCAAATGAACACCCGAGCGATTACTGTCAAAGGCTCCTGAGTACTATGAATAGACACAGTGATTTCGACCCCAGCAGCCTTGCTAATCAAATGATAGTAAGTTCTGCTTTTGTTAGTCAAGCAACTGATGATATATAAAAAAAAAAAAAAATACATCACTAAGCACCACCCTGATTAAACCACCAAAACACTTCCCCAGCTAGTCGATCTAGCTTCCTATGTCTTTAACTGATGCCCTGAGGTCCAGAAGCAAGAAAAATTAAAACTGAAGCAAAAGGAAGTGAATATGTTAGCAGCTGCCCTCATTCAACACTTCCAAGCACCCCACCCCCCACCCCCCCGGCAAGGCTACGACCATGGCTGAGGGAGAGGGCGGGAACAAAACAAACCCCGTACTAAGTCTTCCCAACTCTTCCACTGCAAACACTAATGGCTCTTTCTGCTTGCC